AAGTGACTGCAGAACTAATGGTACATTCCTGAACAGTTCCTCCTTCATGGGAGCGCCTGCCAGAGAATCTGCAGGACAGAGAAAAATGACGGACAATCTGCCAACACAGACAGACAGTTTTCAATTTCCTGCTTCACTGAAAGTCTGTAACACACAGTGTGGCCTTTGGCTGAAGATGGATGCACTAGCATTAGAGAGGAACTTCCGGTGACTGTCCAGGCAGTGAGATGTCTCTGTCAGTTTTGAGTTTATTCATTATTATTCTAAGGCCTTTGATGGAGTTGAAGATTATGTACATAGTTAGACTGATCCTCACTAAATAAATAATGCATAAAATAAAAACTTTAAAATAAAATGAAAACTGAAACAATTAAAGAGTAATAGAGGGCATACACTCTAAGATTTAGATTAGAGTAGAACATTCCGGAAAGAGCACATAACCAGGAATTATGCCATATATCAACAGATGACACTCCATGAAATTACAAAGTTCCTGCTCAGCACAGCACTCTACCAGTGGAGTGCGCAGAGAGTCCCCTGAAATTCAGAACATCTTTCTCAGCTTTACTTCAGAGAAAAACTGATATTCAGTATTTACTAAGCATTGTAGAAACTAAATAACAAGGAAAGAAAATTGCCAAATACAAATGAATTAATGAAATGTTTTTTTTAAAACAAGAAATACAAATGGCCAACAAACTTTTATTCTTATTTTTTTTGAGACAATGTTTCTCTGTGTAGCTTCGGAGCCTATTATGGCACTCCTCTGGGGACCAGGCTCGAACTGACATAGATCGGCCAGCCTCTGCCTGACAAGTGCTGGGGTTAAAGGCATGTGCAAACAACACCTGGCACCAATAAACATTTTAACATGTACTTCACACGATCCTTGTCATGAAAATGAAAATATTCAATAAAATACTGGTAAGTTGAAACAAAGCACACATAAAAATAACACTCGCCCCGACCAAGCTGGTTTAATCCCAGAGATGTCAGGTTGGTTCAATGTATGGAAAACGGTCAATATAATCTACTATATAAACAAACTGAAAAAAAAATAACCACATGATTATCTTGTTAGATGCTGTAGAAGCCTTCAACATAATCCAATACACCTTCATAATAAAGGTCTCAGACAGATCTGGGATGGAAGGATCAGACCTAAACATAATAAAGCCAATATATAGAGCCAACAACCAACACTAAACTAAATGGAGAAAAACTCATATTGATTCCAATAAAATCAGGAACAGGTCTAGACTGTCTACTCTCGGCTTATCTATTCCATACAGTAATCAGAGTTATAGCTGGAGCAATAAGACAAAAATAGGAGGAGGGTCTGGTCCTAGCCAAACAATTGTTCCAGACTAGGATGTCTCCACATGGGAGCCCTTAGCAATGAGGGGGAGAGGACTGGGGCTGGGCTTGGGCAGGTGACAGGGGTGGGAGGAGGCAGGTGGTGTTGGGAGCAGTGGTGAGAGGAAGAACTGTTGTTGGGATGTAAAATGAAATAAAAAAACAAAAATTAAAAAGAGAAAATGAAAATTTAGGTGATTTCATGAGCACTTGTCATGTGGAGTGGTTCAATAAAAAGGAAATGAGAGCAGATAATCAATTCTAGAATTGATTGAAATACATATGCACATATAAAACACTCAGATATTTTAAGTAATAAAGGTTAAAATACACTTCTAAATGTGCAGTATGTTGGTTTGTGTTGGAAGAAGTAATTGAAGTGTGGAATCCAAAGGGACAGAGGGAATTTTCTCACTATCACACGAATCTGTGAAAGATTCTACCACCTACCATAGGAGACCCAGCCATCATTCAGGGAGCATGAAAACTCAATGCATCTCCCTAACACCTTATGCCACTAGGTAAATACACAAGGAACTCTAAAATATCTTTGCTAATTAACAACTGGAAATTTTCATTTATTGTCTAGTCTCCCACACCTAGTGCTGTCCTTGTCACTGAAGGTGAAATGAAAATTGCAGTTCTGGAGGGAGGTGAGGTCACAGAGTCACAGACCTCTACATCACCCTTCTCCTCTCCTTCACACACTGAGGCTTATTAATGACTCTGGATCTGCTCATTGAACCCACCAACCTGTGGAGACAAGAAGCCAGGTGAGTACTGTGTATTTCAGTCTGAGTCGTAGAGTTAGCAAAGAGAGCCATGAGTAAGTGTTCATGCCTTGTAGTGGGATTTGGTGTAGAAACAGATCCATGGACTAGACAAAATGCACAAGGATAAATTGCATAGCAAAGAGATGAGCTAGACAGATCCAATTTTCCTAACCTTGTATCCAATTTGTTTCCTGGTATAATATAGGTTTCTCACTGATTGTGACTGTGAGTAAGAGGGGATAATTCAGCCCAACTCTGTATCTGTTTAACAGTTTCTTTCTTTTTATTTTGTTTTTTTGTTTAACAGTTTCTTAACTAAGTCAATGTGATAATTCACCTCAGTTTTCATGTTGTGTAGACTATAACTTCAGTAATAATTATTTGAGTTTATTTTGCTATGGTTTTATGTCATAGAAAACAGTAGAATGAAAGTATAATTTGCACATATTTCAGAGAAGAGCAGGATGTGAGTATGATTCTGGAGTAAAAAGTATTCATATGTGACAGTACATTTATGTTTTGTTTATAGAAGCAGTAAATGAATCTCTAGTGAGTGTCATTTGGTACAATGACTGGTTTGAAGCCTCTCCTTCTTGAACTTGGGAAGGGAAAATAGAAGGAAAGTTTCAGTATGAGTGTCAGGCAATTTTATTCAAGGTCAAATGTGTGAACTTATTCCAGCTGGTTTCAGCATACTGTAACATTAATCAGAACCGGATAGCTGACAACACTCACTGTATATCTTTATTGATACTGGAAGACAGAGCCTTGTTCATGGTCTGCCAAGGTTCTATCCCTTGGCTAAGTCTGCATTAACACTTAGCATGGACACTACTAACACTGGGCAGCATTTAATGCTCACACTGTACAAGATTATAGGTTTTACATTCTTCTGATTGCACCAAATGATATTACATCCTATTCTTGGTGTAAATTCATTATACATTTCATTGTAATAGACTTGTTGAGGTAAGAATTAGAAAATATGTCAAAGTGTGTTAAAAATCCTTTAATCACAGAACTTTTCTGGCAGAGAAGGCAGATCTCTGTATACTTGAGCTCAACATGGTCTACGTAGTGAGTTTTGAGACAGTCAGAGCTAGATACTGATGCCCTTTTTAAAAATAATAATAATAAAGAAGAGTGAATAAATGCTGAATTTAACAAGAAATTTTTAGCAGCTTAGTGTCCATCTAACAATATTATCTAGTAATCACATATTAGCGTTTTCTTTTATATGCTGTACAGATTAATAGTGTTAGTAATTCCTCTGTATACCTAGTATAATCTTTATCCCTGAGATGTTAGCAACTAATAGTTTTGGTGGCATCATAAATATCAGGTTCATCCTGTACTTGTGAAACCAAAGTGGGAGATGGAACAGTTTTATGTCAGGTCAGACCATGATGAGAACAATTCCCTCAGAAGCACTGGAATTTGACAAACACCTGAGAGATAATTCTTTATGTTACACATTTTCTTTATTTTGTTTTAATGTCTGTTTCCCCTTCATGTAAATATGAGCACTGTGAGAATTCAGTGCTTCTAGACGCCAATAGGTGAAGACAGAAGCCCCTGAAATTGGAATTTCAGGCAGGTGAACAGCACCCTGTGGGTGCTGGGGACCAAAACGGGATCCGCTGAAGCAGCAGCAGCACATTTTTCCTGAGCATTGAGGAAATAGCCGCCTCTCTATTCACACAGAATGGAAACTTTTTGCAGCACAACGCATACAATAGATTACCAAATATATGAACAGAAATGAAACGAGGAACACAAACTGCAAAGAAGGGTGCAGAATGTTGCAGATCTCCCATCCTGGTTTTGTAAAGCACAGTGAGGTGGCTGTGTTTATGTAACACTTTTTATGTTCAAGTCTTCGCAGTGTTCACGGTGACTCTAAGCAATTTTTGTTTCTGTAACACTTTTTATGTTCAAGTCTTCGCAATGTTCACTGTGAATCTAAGCAATTTTTGGATTTAAAGAGTCCCATGCACTTGGGATCCTTAGTTCAGTCCATTACAGTGTAAATACTGGTATTGTCTGGATCATACAGTTTTAACCATTAAAGAAGGTGAAAACCTGAGCTCATGGCAGTGACTCATACATTGTCATTGCTGTTTTCTACTTATACCAACTATATTTAACTCACATAATTGTGCTTTCCATTATTCATTTTCCACTTTTTAGAATGTGAGAAAGTAAATATTTTCATGTGAGAATACAAGATATCAATGGATCTAACCAGTGTGATCACACTCTACCTTCTGCACAGAATCCTGTAACCAGTGTGATCACACTCTACCTTCTGCACAGAATCCTGTAACCAGTGTGATGACACTCTACCTTAGTGCAGAATCCTCCAATTCTGAAGACAAAGGTCCATGTGCGTTATCAGATTTTTCTTAGTGACCTCACTGATAAAGCATGAAAGTATTTCAAAACTGCAGTTGATGCTGGTACCTGTCTCTTCTGTTTAACATTGCTCTTACTTCCCTACAACAGATGCAGTAGGATCCTAAATACTTGGCAAGCGAGTGGAATAGATTCCTCTTGGTCCTTGTCATTCAAGGAGTCTCCAACACCACAACAGCTCTTACAATGAGCCATCTTGTCAATAATTTAATTTCCTTCCACCCATATGTGGCAGGGTACGTGAAGTGGCACGAATTTCCTATAAATGTTCCTGGCTTCTCAGCAAGTTAATTGTCCTAGGTAGGTAGAGCTTGATGATATCATTACCTTTGAGAAATTTTTGTTATGTAGTCTATTCTGGTTTGGTGATTTAGCCTTTCTATAGATTTTGGGTTATTAATATTCTTCATTCATTTTGACCAGAGAAATGTCTTTGTCCATTATTTAAAGAGAATCATGCCTAATAACAGAATGTATTTCTGGGCTCTGACACTCAAAATAATTTTCTTATCACTAACTGCAATTGGAATTCTGGGAAATTTCTCTGTGTTTTACTACTATCTGTTCTGCTATGGAGATTGCAAATTAAAGGCTGTAGATTTGATTCACTGGCACCTAATGGCAGCCAACACCCTGATCATTCTCTCTAAAGGAGTGCCCCACACGATGGCAGCTTTTGGTTTGAAGCAGTTTTTAAATGATATTCAATGCAGATTAATTTTGTACATTGAAAGAGTTGGCTGTGGCTTTTCCATTGCCTCCACCTGCCTCTTGAGTGTCTTCCAGGTTATCAGCATCAGTCATAAGAAATCCTGTTGTAAGGATCAAAAATTCAAAGCTGCTAATTATATTGGCTGTTGCCTTTCCCTTCTCTGGGTCTCCTGCACATTAATACATTTCATTTTCTTTGTGTATCCAATTATAAAAAGGTATAGTATCAATGTGACAAGTAAACGAGATTTTGGACACTGCTCTACTGTAGGGCGGGATGGAATCAATGACTCACTCTATGTAGCATTGGTGGCGTGCCCTGAAATCTTCTTTTCGTTGCTCATGGCCTGGTCTAGTTGCTCTATGATTGTCATTCTGCACAGACACAAGAAGAGGGTTCAGCACATCCGCAGCACCCATGGTTCCATCAGAACCTCCCCTGAATCCAGAGTCACCCAGAACATCCTGGTGCTGGTGTCTAATTTTCTGGCTTTTTATACTCTGTCCTCTGTCTTACAAGGCTGTGTGGCTCTTTTGTCTAATCCTAGTTGGTGGCTAGTGAACATCACTCACCTCGTTTCTCTGTGTTTTCCTTGTTTTGGACCCTGTGTTCTTATGAATCGTTACTCCATAATGCCAAGTCTCAGTTTGGTCTGGATAAGGAACGTGACCACACTCATTCTTAAGTATGTGAATGATATAATTCTTATGGTATCCAGTTGTTTAGTCACCCATCTCCCTCACAAAGTCAGTACAGAAAGTTAAGGAGGCAGTGCCCTGTCCTTCAATTATTTATGTATATGGTATGTCTCAGAGTTTTGCCAGCTGATTGAATTAGCCTTTCCCACTGTATGAGGAAGATTTCCCTCTTCAACTCTCAGCATCTAACATTTCCTTTGTCTAGCTGGTGTATAAAAGAGCTAGCAAAAAATGTTCTCACTCAAGCCACCCTTCTTCTGGCTTTCATTCAGCCAGTGCAGGCTGAGTGCTTGGTTATTTCACAGAAATATTATGGATCATATAGTCTATCTGCAAAGAAAGCTAATGCAGTGGCTGGCCTGCAAGATGTGCTTCTGGAAGTCTCTGTCTATTGCTGTTCTCGTCTTCAGCAGTACCAGCAAACTCCTTCAGCCAGAACTTCCTACATATGCTTCTTCCAGCTGCTATAGAGGCGATCAGATTGGATTGCTCTGAAGCTTGTACCAACCGTCTTCAACAACATCTCCAAACTGAGCATCGCCCCAGGACACTTAGTGAAAAACTATTATCAATATCTTTTACCTCATACAGAAATTGTGAATAAATGGTGGTTTTAATGTTATCTTTATCTTTGCCAATGTTTTTGAGAAATTTTGAATCTACGTTCATCATGGAGATTAGAATGTAAATTTCTGTTTTTATTTTTGTCTTGTTATCTGGTTTGACAGCAGTGTGATGTGGACTTCATCGATAAAGTTTGGAAGACATTAAATATATGCATTATGGAAATCAGTTTTGCGGTTCCTCAAAAAATAAATAGAACTGATATATGTCCCAACTTTTACACTCAGGGGAATATATTCAGAAAACTCCATTTATTTCCATAGAAATTTGTGCCAATCCATGTTTATGACTGCTCTAGTTACATGGAAATTGTGCTCACATTTATATCCATAAATATATAAATCTATAATCAAATTTTTGCTCACATATAAAATGGTAAACTATCAAACTATTGTGATACATGAAATCCCAAAATTGCAGGAAAATTGATGGGCTCATAATGAATAATATTAATCCAGGTCTTACAAACTCAGAAAACAAATCACATGTTGTCTTCCTATAAGGTGTGAATCTGCATATGTGTATAGGTGAGTGTAACTTTACTTTCAGGTTTCGAAAGGAGATAAAGAAAAATAATGTTAGGCAATGGTAGGCAAATCAATTCATGAGTTATGGTAGAAGATATCAAGGTAATTATTTCTTCTATTTTCTTCTTTGACATTGTTATCAACCTGTGCTGGATAAGGGCATCAAAATATAATTGGTAGAAAAAGAGTAAAACCATGAGCTTCATCATAGCTCTCTGAAGTATGTAGATCTAAATTGAAATAAACTGAATTTGGACCTGGACCTCCAATTTTTAATTTGAATTAGAAACAAAATTATTTTACATGTCAATCTCAGGTCCCTCTCACTCCCCTTTTCCCCTGCCCCCCACTAATACCCTACCCATCCCATACCCTTTCTGCTCCCCAGGGAGGATGAGGCCTTCAATAGGGGTTCTTCCCAGTCGGTCATATCATTTTGGATAGGGCCTAAGCCCTCCCCCATGTGTCTAGTCTCAGGGAGTATCCCTTTATGTGGATGGGCTCCCAAAGTCCATTCCTATCCTATGGATAAATACTGATCTACTACAAGAGGCCCCATAGATTTCTGAGGTCTCCTCACTGACACCCACATTCATTGTGCTTGGATCAATCCCATGCTGGTTTCCAAGCTATCAGTCTGGGGACCAAGAGCTCACCCTTGTTCAGGCCAGCTTTTTCTGTGGGTTTTACCAACCTGGTCTTGACTCCTTTGCTCATCACTCCTTGTCTGCAACTGGATTCCAGTTCAGTTCAGTGTTTAGCTGTGGGTGTCTACTTCTACCTCCATCAGCTGCTGGATGAAGTCTATAGGATGGCATATAAGTCAGCCATCAATCTCATTATCAGGGGAGGGCATTTAAGGTTTCATCTCCTCTGTTGCTTAGATTGTTTGTTGGTGTCATCCTTGTAGATCTCTAGACATTTCCTTAGTGCCTGATTTCTCTTTAAACATATAGTGTCTCCCTCTATTATGGTATCTCTTATCTTGCTCTCCTCTATTCTTCCCCCAACTCAATCTTCCTGCTCCCTCATGTCTTCCTCATCCCTGCTCTTTTCCCCTTCTTATTCTTCTAGATCCATCATCCCTACCCCCCATGCTCCCAATTTACTCCAGATATCTCCAGATATCTTGTCTCTTTCCCCTTCTCCGGGGGACCATGTATGCCTCTCTTAGAGTCCTCCTTGTTTCCTAGATTCTCTGGTAGTGTGGATTGTAGGCTGGTAATCCTTTTGTCTATGTCTAAAATCCTTATATGAGTGAGTACATACCATGTCTATATTTTTGTGACTGAGTCACTTTGCTCATAATTGTTTCTTCTGGTTCCATACCTTTGACTGTTAATTTCAAGATTCCATTTTTCCCCGAGTAGTACTCCATTGTGTGAATGTACCACAATTTCTCCATTCATTCTTCAGTTGAGGGGCATCTAGGTTGCTTCCAGGTTCTGGCTATTACAAACAATTCTGCTATGAACATAGTTGAACAGATTTCCTTAATGTATGAATGTGCATCATTTGGGTATGTGCCTAAAAGTGGAATTGCAGAATCTTGTGGTAGACTGATGGACATTTTCCTGAGGAATCGCCATACTGAATTACAAGGTGGCTGTATGAATTGGCACTCCCACCAGCAGTAGGGGAGTGTTCCTGTTTCTCCATATCCTCTCCAGCATAAACTGTCATTGGTTTTTGATTTTAGCCATTCTGACAGGAGTAAGATGGTATTTCGGAGTGGTTTGATTTGCATTTCCCTTATGGCTAAGGATGTTGTGAAGTTTCTTATGTGTCTATCATCCAGTTTTGTTTTCTCTATTGAGAATTTAGTTCTGTACCTCACTTTTTAATTGGATTACTTGGTGTTTTGAAAACTAGCTTCTTGTGTTCTTTGTAAAGGTTAGGCAATAATAGGCAAATTAATTCATGAGTTATGGAGGGAGATACCAAGAAAATTATTTTTTCTATTTTCAACTCTGCCATTTTTTCATCCTGTGGTGGATAAGGCATAAAAATGTAATTGGTAGAAACAATGTGCTCCATGGCTTCATTGTAGCTCTCTGAAGTATATAGATCTACTGAAATCAACTGAATTTGGACCTGTGCAAGTATTCTTTTGAGTGACTAATTCATTGTATGCCTTTAAGACTTTTATTTGTGAGTTCATTAAAATAAAGTGGTTTTGTATAAAATAAAATGGTATCACAATTTATTCATAGAATTAGGGGTGGATCAACTATGCCCAGCAGCAAATGTAGTACATTACCTGATGGGCTCCTACATAGATGTCATTGATTATATTGTTAAATGCCAGCACATATTCCTTTTCCCCTTTCATTGAGAAAAGTGTATTTTCTTATGCAATATACCCCGATTCCAACTTCTCATTCTACTCCTCCCAGTTCCTCTCCTCCTTCCCTCCCATGCTGACTGACATTCTTTCTGCCATTAGGAAACCATAGGCGGCTAACATAACAACATTACATAACAAGATAAAATATGGAAATAAAAATCCCGTCGAGGGGGGACAAAACAAACCAACAAAAGAAAAGATCCCAAGAGAAGGCCCATGCATAGCAGGCCCTCTCATTCATACAATCAATCAGCTCATAAAAATACTAAACTGGAGCTATACTATTTGTGCCTGAGACTAGAGGAAGAACCTTGAAGTCTCCATGCTTGTTGCTTCAGTCTCTGTGGGTTGACAGCAGCTTTGCTCAGTTGATTCAGAGTTCCTTGTTCTCATGGTGATATCCATGCCCTCCTGCTCTTACACTCTTTCAGCCTCCCATCCTGTAGGCTTGTCTGATCACTAGGGGATTGATACTATGGAAACATCCCATTTTCAAGCCCTGATGTCAGAAATTCTTTTTAACAAAATCCAGCATTCCTTCATCATAAATGGTATGAAGTTACAAGAGATGCAAGTAAAATACCTCATCAATAATAAAGGCTACATACTACCAACCTCCAATTGAGATTTTGTATCCATGAATATTATGCATTGCAGTCACACACTTACTTACCACCTTCAGCTAAGCTTAACCTTCAAAATACACACATTTTCTCTAAATACTACTGTAGCTGGGATATATCTTGTAAAGATCATGTCTTTGAAAAGCATTTTCTATTTGTGTCATATTAATAAAAAGAGCAGTTTGGGGGAAGGATAAAGACACATTGAGGGAAGAAATATGAGCGAAAGAGTTAGGGAACTAGGGAATTCAAGACAATTCCGTATATAAGTTGGAAAAGTTTTCTCCCAAAAATGACAAAGACTGTAGGTGTCAAGAGTATGCATTTGATTCATAAAGGAGTTGAAAATTCCTAAAACTTGATGTGTAAAGAATTTTGAGTCAATGAGAAAGAGAGACGATTTCCTTAGAAAATTGGGAGCATGAGGGTAAGGGAAAGGGCGCTAGGAGAAAGAGAAGGGGAGAAGAGGGGGGAGAGTAGTACATGCTCTTGGATAGGTGGTATCAACATAGTAAAAATGGCAATCTTGCTAAAATCAATCTATCCATTCAATGTAATTCCCATCAAAATCCCAGCACTATTCTTCACAGACCTTGAAAGAACAGTACCCAGCTTCATATGGATAAACAAAAAACCCAGAATAGCCAAAACAACCCTGTAAAATAAAGGAACTTCTGGAAGCATCACCATCCCTGTTTTCAATCTCCATTATGGATCCATATTACTGAAAACAGCTTCGTATTGGCACAAAAATAGCCAGGTTGACCAATAGAATCAAATTGAAAATCCTGCTATTAACCCATACACCTATGAACACCTGATTTTTGACAAGGAAGCTAAAGTTATACAATGGAAAAAAGAAAGCATCTTCAACAAATGGCACTGGCATAACTGGATTCATACATGTAGAAGATTGCAGATAGATCCATATCTATTGCCATGCAC